CAGGCGGGCCCTCCCACACTAAGGTTTGTTAGATTGCATCGATGCTGCCCTCTGTGAGAGAGAGAGAGAGAGAGAGGTGGTCAACAGAAAGAGAGCAGGTTTGTCAAGAGAGAGGGAGGGGTTTTGCTTAGCTGAGGTTGCTTGTGGCTCCTCCACCGTCTTTCCCCCGTTCTGATTTCAAGCTTTGCATGTATGATTTCTGGGACTGTATATTATTCACAGAGCATTGAAGTATAACGGGTATGCACTGGTGTACATTTCTCGTCACCCCGAACTGAACTGATTGCTAGCCCTGCCCTTGTTTGCTGTTCCGTGACTCCTCTTCGTCAGAAAGGACTTCAACTATCATCCGGGTAGTGGTGCTTCCCAAATCCACGTACCTATATGCACACACACAGAGTCCATGGAGGAGGTAGGTAGATAGAATAGGAGAATACGAGTTTACAGACAGATGGAGGAGGAGGAGTTTACGGGGAGAGGGACAAGAAGGAGAGGGCCCAGGCGATGGGTGTCACCAAGAAGTAGCCCCCCCCTCCGTCGGATTTAATGCTCCTTTTTTGTTTTTCCTAATTTGAGCATGATCGCAAGAAGATGAGTCATTCATATATTTTTTTGAATTTCTTTGCACTTCATTAAGGTTTTTTGTTGACTTCTTTCCCCATTTCCTGCTGACACTTTTGCAGACCTTCTGTCCGTCCTTTTCTTTCTGGGCTCTGCCCCCCCCCCCCCCCCCCCCTCACCTTAACGAACACTCTGTGTCCAATTTCTTCTCTTCTTGAGAAAATGAGATGCAATTGGTGGCTCAGGTCAACCAACACTCCCACTGCGAATGGGGTCGTGAATTGTGGTGGATCGCGTGTGCCACTTGCTGCGGCATGGTCTTGTTCAGTTGAAGACGATGAATCAGGAGGACCGGTATAATGTTTCTTCTTTTTTCTTCTGTTAATGTTTTTTTTTTTCTGTTACCAGTATATATATTATATTAATAATAATTGTAAAAAAACTTCCATGCCCCATGATGTATCAACGGTAGAAGATGGTACAGCTTCCGATCTCACGACAGAGTGTGCTAAAGAGTTTCCCAATGCTCACTCTCTTTCAACTGGTGTTATAAAAGAATTGTCCTCTTGCGGCTTTCCTCACTAGCGACACATGGCCGTGCCTGCTTTCACTATCACTCTGCCAGTCGTCTGTCACCTTTGTTGATGTCACTTTCACCCAGTTCGACCAGTTATTCCGGCAGTCCGTGAAATCTGGACACGTCCGGAATCGTCATCGGGGTCCTGTGCAAACGTGCAAACGTTAGCCATATCCCGAAAGGTCTGGCTATAGGAAAGAAAAAATGCTGCTGTTTTCTGACTTTTGGGTGATCAACAACAGTTTAAACTTGAAAGGGTGCATACCCAAGTTGGGATATGATGTACCTTTGTGAAGTTGAGCAAGAAGACGAAGATTCGGCAAAGAATCACATTTACACAACTTCGCGTGCACAGTTCGTTCATATTGTTTGCAGCTTACCATAAACTTCGAAAGTTTGCACAGCAAGACAGAAGTTTCACTA